AGACACGTACTCCAAGGAGTATCGCTGTTCTGTAGCGGGTCTCTACCTAACTCGTAAGAAAAGAAGCAACAGTTGGAGCTATGTGCTAAAAATTGTGTATCTGGGGCTTTTAAGAGCCATAAAACTGATTTTAAGAAAGGGTTAAAGTGGTAAAAGAGAAATGCGTAACAGCTAAAACATGCACTGAAGCTGGTTTGTTTCTAACTGCCTCTTGGTCATTAAGAGTTTATGCTTCGCAGAGCCCCATAAAAACAGATTTAAGATTGCACACAGTGTCCATGAATTAGTGTAAACCCACAGACAAGTCTTCAATGTGATAGGGTAGCCACTCAGACAATAGAAGGCCTAGAATCAGTAGAACATGACTTGAAATAATCAATGAATGATTACTTTGGATTTATTTCTTATTTACTAGGCTACGTGCTTGAATTGGTGCTTCATATTTAGTAGTATATTATCTACGTTTCTAGAGTAGATACATCCAGTCCATTGACTGATGGCTAAACATCCAGTGAGGTATGGCCTTGCAGGAACAGAGGAGGCAAGAGGGCGAGACATCAGTATGTAGGCAGAAGGAGATTGAGAGATACAGAGATAAGGAGAGAGAGAATTATTAATGGCAGCTCCGGGTTCATAACCGAGAAGCATCAAGACCGACTGATAAATCACGTTAGCTGGGGAGTTGAGGTTTAAAAGGAGGAAGGTGGGCATGGAATAAACCTCTACTGAAGAACGAGGAAACCCTACCTAGGGTCCAAATCTGGGCCTCTGGGCTACCGTGTCCCATCCACCCTCTACCAGGCACAATCACGTCCACCCGTGAGAAGCAAACCTTTGCTCCTCCAACCCTGGGGACACTGGCATGTCACAGAAACGCCCGCGTGTTTCACCGCAAAAACATGCAGCCACATTCTGTGTAGGAAGACAGCATTGGTGGTGGTCCTGTTTCAACATTCCATGGTTTATCCAAATTGCTGACCCTTCTAAATCTTTCAAAGGACACGAAAACTAGTAATCAAGAATCCTGATAGGCTTTTTAAAAAAGGGATTTAATTAGAAACATCCATCAAAAGCCATGTGGATAAAAATGAGAAAAAAAAAGTCGTGAAATCTGTTTTGCATTATGAACTTTGAAGCTTTCTATTCAAACCAATTTTCTTTAAGTAAAAACTTAATGGCGTCACCAAAGCCATGTTGATACAGAGATTCCATTTTCCTCTTGCTTGGTGGAAAAAGGGCTTGGTTCAGCCTCACCAAGTTAGCCACAGACAGCTAGAACAGAAAGACAAATTGAAGCTATGAGACATTACAGTACAGGGAGATGTAACCCGAGATTTCTTATCACAGGTACAATTAGGGGCTTAAAAAGTCTGTAGGAGAAAAATCCAACTTGGAAGGTTAACTTCACCCACAGGCTAGATGAGGGTCTTCTCGGTCTTGATGCTTGTGCTTGGGGACACATACTTGTGTGTTGTGGGGGCTGTCTGCGCATCACGGGATGTTGGGCACCAGTCCTGACCTCTACCCCCTGGATGCCAGGAGTGCCTAGCAGATGTGAGAAGCAAACGTGTCCAGGCATTGCCAGTGTCTCCTAAGTGTAATATCACCTCGGGGTGAGAACGATTAGACGAGGTTAAGGAAGTCAATATGTAAGTTCTTCAGTCGAGTTTTCCTCCAATACTTTGTGACACTTCATTATCACCATGTTTTTAAACCAATAAACGATCTAATTTAAACTTGCCCTGAAATTCTCCCACTAGTTTACTGACCTGAAGAAGTGAAGAGAGAAGAACTTTTCACAAACGGACAGTAAATGGTGACAGGCCTGCACACTCACGTCCGTATGCATAACATGTATTGGAAACTAGTAAAAAACCATGTTACTGAGAACACGCAGTTTGTACGTCACATTATCAACGAGCTTCCAACATTTTGGAAGCGTGTGGAAGTTCTCAGGCAGGTGACTTCCAATATCACTGGACACATCACTCACCATCATGTCCTGTTTGGCGACGTTAACGTACACATTCAACTGCGCTTTGTCCTGCGGGGAGATGTCCAGTCGTCCACTGAAGGGTGAGATGGTCACCGTCCGGCCGACAGGGAGGATGGGGAGGCCGTTGGTGAGGCCTCCATCCACCCACTTCTGTGGAAAGAAACAGCCCGTGTCGGCACATGTCCATGAGACACGTCCCATGTGGAGCAGATAAACACAGATTTTTCAACACGACTCCTTCCTTGTAATATCATCGAAGCCTCTTCGGTGCTCTTCAATTACTGTTTATGGGGACTAATCCGATGGGTGATTTTTTAAATCTTTCTACACAGATCATTTACCCATAGAATGAGAAGCTGACAGAAATCAGGAAACCTCTCCAATTGTTTAAAAACTTTCAGGGGTGCCTGGGTGGCTCAGTCGGTTAAGCGGCCGACTTCGGCTCAGGTCACGATCTCGCGGTCCGTGAGTTCGAGCCCCGCGTCAAGCTCTGGGCTGATGGCTCGGCGCCTGGAGCCTGCTTCCGATTCTGTGTCTCCCTCTCTCTCTGCCCCTCCCCCATTCATGCTCTGTCTCTCTCTGTCCCAAAAATAAATAAACATTAAAAAAAATTTATATAAAAAAAAATATTCCCTGGAACACTAACATGTTTTTCCAAACCGACAGTGCAAAAACTTTTAGGATGTTGCTGAAAACTAAGACCTTCTCCGTCCGAATCACTGACTTGATATCCAGATTCCCATCAAGCCTAAACTGTCCGGTCGCCAGGCCAGTTACCACTTACTGTTGACTGTGTTGGTGACTGCACCACCTATCTGTGTGAAACGTCTAAGTCACGAAGAAATAGACGTGGGAGAATTATGGTAGTAGTTACATACAAATACGTAGTAACAGTATTCCACGACGGTCTTTCCCACAAATATGTCAGTAATGAAAGAATGAATAATCCACATCCCATACAAAATGCTCAGTAGACTAGAATAATTCAATGTTAAATTTTCTCTAGATAATACACAGTCAAAATATTGCCTGAATTCGAATTCAGACAAGAAAAAAGGAAAAAAAAAAAAAACACACCCTACAGCTTGTCTTGTGATGTGCATACCATCAGTTCTAGAGATGATCTTCTTCTGTTATTATGACCAATTAGGCCATTGCCAATGCTAATGCTATCACTTCAAAAACCAAACCAGACAACTTGTTAGCTCAGACCTCCTCTTGAAAATGCTCATGCTTGTTCCAAATTGATGTCAAGAATTGTGAAAACGTGGCGTTTTCTGAGGATGCACACTCAGAGGCCAGATATGCTGACTGAAGATTCCTGAGTAAGAAATACAAGTCTGACCTTCAATATGTTTCTGTTCTTCATTCATTTATTCAGCGGCTAATGACTATCTACCATAAACAGGGTACTAAAAACAGGTCTTAGAAGAGGAAGCCAGGAGACCTACAAGAACTTTAAAAAAGTTAGGGAAGGGGCTCCTGGGTGGCCCATCCAGTTAAGAGTCCGACTTTAGCTCAGGTCATGATCTCATGGTTTGTGAGTTCAAACCCTGCATTAGGCTCTGTGCTGACGGCGTGGAGCCCAGCCTGCTTGGGATTCTCTCCCTCTCTTTCTCTCTAAATAAATAAACAAACAAACAAACAAATAACTTTTAAAAAAATTAGGGAAGGGGCTCCTGGGTGGCTCATTCTGTTAAGAGTCTGACTTTGGCTCAGGTCATGATCTCATGGTTCGTGAGTTCAAACCCTGCATTAGGCTCTGTGCTGACAGTGTGGAGCCTGCTTGGGATTCTCTCCCTCTCTTTCTCTCTAAATAAACAAAGAACTTTTAAAAAAAAATTAGGGAAGGGGAGCCTGGGTGGTTCAGAAGGTTAAGTGTCCAACTTGGGCTCAGGTCATGATCTCAAGGTTCGTGAGCTTGAACCCCCACATCGGGCTCTGTGCCGATAGCTCAGAGCCTGGAGTCTGCTTCGGATTCTGTGTCTCCCTCTCTCTCTGTCTCTCCTCCTCTCATGCTCTGTCTCTTTCTCTGTGTCAAAAAAAAAAATAAACATTAAAAAAATAAAAAAAAATAAAAAACATTAGGAAAAGGAAGTAGACATCAGACTATGTCAAATAACTACTAGACAGGTTAGGAAGGAATTATACTGTCTATTAAGTTAATCTTCTGCCTTACGAAAGTATGAAACTTATTTTTTTTTAATTTTTTTTAATGCTTATTTTTGAGAGAGAGAGAGAGAGAGCGAGAACGCACAAGTGGGCCACACGGTATACTCACCAGGCCACACCACCACAGGGCACTGGTCTGCCCCCTGCTGCTGCTGTCACCTCAGTCACTTCAGAAAAACCACCAAATCCCGCCAACCAATCAAGACCTGACTTCCACAAAAACACTAAAACCTAGAACAGGAGACGTGTTTTCAGCACAATGGGATTTTTTTCTGTAAGTTAAGTCATAGGAAAAGCTCACACCCACTGGCAAATGCTGCATTTAAATCAAAGTTTGTGTTTGGCTGAAAATGGAAAGATTTCAGCAAGCAAGCTGGCCTACAAATCCTACAGAAACTGTGGGAGGCTCTCAGGCTGAAAAAGCATCTGTGATGAGCACGGAAGGAGGCCAGAATGTTGGTAAGTGTGTGCGTACGTGCACAAGGTCTCCGAGGGTTCTGTCACTCACTGTGTGCTCAGGACCCCCTCTTTGTGGACAGCAGTAAAGCACAACGGAAACCTGATGCTTTCAGGAGACCTTAAAATTAAGTAAGTGTCACATGTCTACTTTGCACAGACACGGGTAATGGGCAACAAACTAGGCAGACCGGGGCAGGAGACACGGCAGAGACACAAACACTGGAGATCATCCTGGGAAAGGTGCCCACTCCCTAGCTAGGTGACCTCTGTGAAGTCAAATGCACATCTCTGACCCTCCCTTTCTCCTCGTCTGCAAAATGCAGCGCAGTCATCCCATGACAGGTGAGGGGGTTCTGTTGCGGCCAATAGAAAATGATAACAGCATGAGTTGTACTGCTTTTTCCACTACAAGGAAAATGGAGAGTGGACTGGTAAGGGTGGCCTCCCCAAGTCGTTCAGGGCACGTCTTTCCAGCTCACTCTGCGGCCATCTCCATGGTGGGATTGGTGACCTCATGATGCAGAACGGCTGCTGCAGTTCCAGTCATCACAGCTAGGGTCTGGGCAGCAGGAAGTAAAGAAAGGTATACAAGTTCCCTTCCTGTAAGTCCCACAGTAATCCAGCTTATAGCTCACCAGCCAGCACTTAAATGGGAGCCTCACCTAGCTACAATGGAAGTCTGGAAATGTCCGGCCAATGACTCTGATTCTGTCATAAGGAAGGAGAGGAAAGTTCATGGTGGAAGAAAGCTAGAAGCCTCTATCACCTGCACCTCATTCATAATACCTTTACTAGTATTTGTACAGGAAACTGTTTAGCATAGCGTTAGAGCATCCTTGGCTTCTGGGGCTCAGCTCTATTGTAACTTTTTTTAAAAATTTATTTTATTTTGGGAGAGAGAGACAGGGGGGGGGGGGGGGAAACGCCAAGCAGGCCCTGCACTGTCAGCACAGAGCCTGATGTGGGGCTCAAACTCACAAAGCGTGAGATCATGAGCTGAGCCGAAATCAAGAGTCTGGCACTTAACTGCCTGAGCCACGAGGCGCCCCAGCTCTTGTAACCTTGCTTCCACCCTCCCTTTCTGAAATTCCCACCTCCTTTCTAGCACATTCTACATCTACATCCTCCCTGCTCAATTGCTACCTCTTAATTATTGATCACATTGGCAATTCTGGGGACTCTTGACTCCCCAGCCCCCCTTTCATAACATGTCATCTCTAAGACACCTTAGAGTTTTTTTTGCCCATTTCTATCATTATTGTATATTCTATGTTTAGCCATTTCTATCATTATTATATATTACACAATCATACTTTGAAGTAAAATCATTACATTTCAGATCATTATAAAGTTAGTTTATAAGATAACATTGATTTTGGTACCATCTTAATAAAAATTTATAGCTAAAAATAAATGTTAACTTTTACTCCTATCCTATAATAGGAGGGAAAATGCTATTGAACTTAAAGTAATTACAATAAAGTACAGTACCTCTCCAATTTTTAGATTGCAACATAGCTCACACTCCTTGGGAGCTAAATACCTGTTAGGTCTGAGAGAAAGTACCAACAGTAGGGAAAAAACAAACAAACAAACAAACAAACCCAACGCTGCTTTCCATGAACTGATGTTTAAATTATTTTATGTTGCTCTTAAAAAAAAAAAAAGATCAGTGTATATTTAGCTTCTAAACAGTCACAAAGAGGGTTTTAGCATTCTGTTTGGACTATATGCCTATGGCTATAAAAAGAGCTAGACTGAACTGTCCTTCTTAGGCTCTGCAACTTTGCATCTACACGGCTTTTCCGGTTACTTAACATCTCTGTGCCTCTCTCTCCCCGTGTGTCCCTTTAGACAACGGTCCTGGGGCAGGCCAATTTGGGCCCAGAAGTGTACAGGACAGGAAGCACGGCAAAGGCCTGGAAAGACCAAGAATGCTCAAAGCAAGAAAATCAGGAGGGCTTGTGAGATCACAAAAATCGATGCCTTTGTTGTGAGATCACCAATTCCTTGAGTAGAGGTACTGTGCACAGGGCCCTCGAAGTCCCTGAGTGAGTGAATGAATGAATGACAGATATTAAACATTTTTCATGTACTCACTTAGGAATAAGTGCATATGATGTATATATATACTAAATAAAACAAATGGCATTTATTCATCTGCGAATATGTGCCTGATCTTGGCTATGTGTTAAATAGATACTATATTGCATTATACAACATGTATCTCTAGTATGTGTTAAATAGATGCTGTATTTGATTATAAATACATATCTCTGGTATATGTTAAATAGTGTATTTGATTATAAAATGCATATTTCTGGTATGTGTTAAATAGATATTCTATTTGATTATAAATATATATCTAGTATATTTTAAATAGATGCTTCTATTTGATTGTAAATATGTATCTCTGGTATGTGTTAAGTAGATACTGTATTGGATGATAAAATGTATTGCTCTGGTATGGGTTAAATAGATACTATATTTGATTACAAATACGTAGCTCTGGTGTGTGCTAAGTAGATACTGTATTTGATTATAAAATGCATAACTCTGGTATGTGTGAAATAGATACTGTCTTTGATTTTAAAATGCCTATCTCTGGTATGTGCTAAGTAGATAATTTATTTGATAAAATGTGTAACTGTGGTATGTTTGAAATAGATACTGTCTTTGATATTTAAACGCCTATCTCTGGTGTGTGCTAAGTAGTTAGTGTATTTGCTTATAAATACGGATCTCTGGCATGTGTTAGAGAGACAGTGTATCTGTTCTACAGGGTGCGCCTGTATGCAGGAGCCAGAGAGGGTAGGTAGGATAATGAACCTTTACTGCAGCGGCTGCAGAAGGCAGAGGGCCGGGGAGGGGCTTGCTGCCTGGCGGGGGGGGGGGGGGGGCGCCCGCGGGGGGTGGGGAAGGGGAAGGAGCGGGTGCCGGTGCGCCCCCCCCCCCACATGCAGAGCCCTGAGGCTTTTCCCAGCTGGCAGCTCAGCTCTGCCTGAAGGGGCTGTAAGTAGGAGTTTACTGTTTTAAAAATTCTTTTAGTCTTTTTTTTTTCTTTTAACAAAAGGGACAAAATTTATAACCAGATGGAAAAAGGGGCATCCCCATCATTCTGAGTGTCGAGGTCTTGCTGCCATGCCTCCCGTACTTGATTTCTTTTCTGTTAAAAACAAATTTATTTACAAAAAAAAAAAAATCATATAAACTGATTTGGAATCACCAGCATAATGATAAAATTGGATCCTTGAAAGGAAACGTATTAATCCAGGGAATCCTGATGATTCATCAGTTAAAAGAAGGTTACCTGCCCGTTGTACTCCACTGGTTTCATGCCCGCGTAAATGGGCAGGAAGCTGCTAGCCAGGAGAACCTGGAGGAGGAAAGAGAAACAGCCCGCAAGTATAAGCGTTCACACACAAAACACACTTGATGTATTAGTAAAACATGTTACGTTTTTCCAAAAATAACAATGTTCACTGTAAAAGATTAAGTTCTATATATTTCTTTTTTTTTCAACGTTCATTTATTTTTGAGACACAGAGATAGAGCATGAACGGGGGAGGGGCAGAGAGAGAGGGAGACACAGAATCGGAAACAGGCTGCAGGCTCTGAGCGGTCAGCACAGAGCCCGATGCGGGGCTGGAACTCACGGACCGCGAGATCATGACCTGAGCCAAAGTTGGACGCTTAACCGACTGAGCCACCCGGGCGCCCCAGTTCTATATATTTCAACTGCACACCAGACACAGTTAAGGAGAAGGTGACACTTCTACTGTCTGCAAAGACCCTGAACACAGAGGCGTGATTCCATGTTCTGTGACTCAACTGACTTCACCTGAGTAAAATCGCTATTTTAATTGTAGACGACCAGGTCATTAGTAAGTTTAACTTCCAGGGAAGTCTACATTCGTGAGCACGTACAGGCTGCAAATAAATTATTCACGATGCTCTGTCATATGCTATAAAAATCATTTCTCAGGTTGCACTGTGGAGGGCGCCTGGCTGGCTCAGTCTGTGGAGCGTGTGGCTTGATCTTCGGGTCTTGAGTTCAAGCCCCGTGTTGGGGGTAGACTTTACTTGAAAAAAATAAAGATAAGGTTGCACTCTTATTTTTCAGAGGAGCAAACCCTCTGGTTATTACAGAGGAGACCAGCCTGCAGCTTGGGAGGATTCTAATTTGTCCCCACGATGTTGCTAACAGGAGCGACACATTTCATGTGCTAGCAACATGGTCTGCATATATAATGCGACGGCAGCAGCTTGGGACAGCAGGTACGCGTTATCTTCTATTGAAAAAGGCGAAAAAGGTCGCCATTTAGAATATTACCATTTCTTCCAGCAGAACTTGGGCATTGGGAGCTTTTCTGACATTTACATGTTTCTTTTCTTTTTTCTAGTGCAGTCTCCAAATCACTACTGTTCTGTTTGGAAAGACACAGCAGTAGATACTGAATATTTAAGCTAGAATCTTTCAACTAGTAACTGTTTCTTGTCAAGGATTTCATGAGATTTGGCAGGGGTGGGGTGGGCGTATATTATTCAGAAATGGATTACGGCCCCACAACTGATTTGCAAATCGCCTACTTAGAATTATTTACAACTCACAGAGCATTTTTCCCCAGAGAAACAATAGTGTAGGTATGTTTTCTGAGGTCAGCTCTCCAAGGCCAATATGTATATTCTGAACTGTGAGTAACGACAGATCCAGTCACCAGCAACTGCACTTTCTGTAGCAGGCGTCCTCTGTGGGGTGTAACCTGGCTGGACCGCTTTTGTTTCTGCGTCGTGTACCTGGAAGTTGGCACTGGCTTCTCTGTGCAGTGGTCCCAACTCTTAACAAGGCTCGTGGCTCCTCGCTGCTGAAAAGTGCTGAAGGGACAGGGTCTGTGCCTCCTGCATGGTCGGTCAGGCCTTCTCGGGCCTTCTCACACCCCACAAATGCCTGTTTTACCTCCCCGTCTCCATGGCAGGAATGCAGATGAGCACCCTTGGTGGGGTGCAGTGGGACAAACAAGGATTCGCCCATGTTGTTGGGGACGTGTCGAGCACAAGGGCTGAGGTTCTAACAGTCCCCATGGCAACGGGCTCCTGACAGGTGGCCCGGAAACATCTGGGGCGTCAGGTGTGAGTAGTAGAACAGCACAAACCAAGACTCTAGCAGGAAAGAAGGAAAGGACTGACACGCATCACATATCCCTCTTGTTCCAGGCTGGTGCCGGGTGCCCGAACCAGCGACGTCATTTTTGTGCCCAGTGAAAAATGAAAATACAGGTATTAAGAAATGCAAGATGTCGGGGTGCCTGGGTGGCTCAGTCGGTTAAACATCCAACTATTCATTTCTGCTCAGGTCATGATTTCATGGTTTGTGAGATTGAGGCCCACGTTGGGCTCTGTGCTGACAGCATGGAGCTTGCTTAGGATTGTTTGGCTCACTCCCCCCCCCCCCCTCTCTCTCTCCCTCTCTCTCCACCTCCCCTGCTTACATGCACACTCTCAAAATCAATAAAGTTAAAAAAAAAAGAATTGCAAAATGTTGACAACAGATCATCAAACCAAAGTACAATGGCAATCTTGCATGAGATTTGTCAACCATCTACAAACAAGACTGTAGGCATGCCTGTCCTTAGCATCACTCTTCTATTTTTGATGTTTATTTATTTTGAGAGAGAGGGAGAAAGCGAGCAGGGGAGGGCGAAAGAGAGAGGGAGAAAGAGAATCCCAAGCAGGCTCTGCGCTGTCAGCACACAGCCCAACTTAGTGCTTGATCCCATGAACCGTGAGATCATGAGCTGAGCTGAAATCAAGAGTCGCTTAACTGGCTGAGCTGCCCAGGTGCTCCCGAGTTCCTCCTCAAATGTGTGGCTTGATAGAATGGTGAGCTGTGACGCTAGACAAACCTGTTATACAAAGAGGAAACCAGGAGTGAATATCATCTCGGGTGATTTGTGGGGCATTACTCCATAAGCCAGTGGGGGAGGACAGCACAGAGCCAACCTTCTCGGCCCCACGACATCAGCACTTGGGTGTTTTCCAGAGAAAGGCTGTGCACGGTTTCCATTGTCACTGCATTCACCCTAAATGAATCTGGCTCTATCATCAATTGGCTACTCTTTAAAAAAAAAAAAAAAAAAAAGACAATTACAGGCCCTAGGTATGTTTTGTAGACACGCTGTGGCTATTTAATGAAGTAATTTGGCAAAAAGCAACATGGTGATGTAGCAATCACTGAAACGCTCTGGGGATAGCAGACATATTGTGAAATTACAGTACTTAAGAGTCTTTAAAGAACCAAAGACACTCTGTAAATATAACGATTTATTGCATTATGCTGCATAAATAATCATGTGCCCTGCAAAAAAAAAAAAAAAATCACCACCATTAGAATCAGAATGATGTGTTTTTCCTCCCCCCTGTCCATGTCAGAGTATAATGTAAAGTTCACAAGTTAATGCTTGAAAGTGTTTTCGGTGTTTGGTTGAAAAATGCTATTCAATTACTTTCCTACAGATAAGAAGAGTACGAATCTTCCTAAATGATATGAGGACTGCAGTGAACTAGAAAATACCTGTCAGTCCTCCAAATCAATGTATTTATTCTGACATAACTCACTTTCCCTGTATGTGGGCTGCTGGTTTGCATATCGGACCAAGTTCAGTGGGAAAATTAGCTTCCACAGTAGAGAACTAAGTGGTCTGTCTTATTCGTGGTCTGTTTGCCGCCATTTTATTGCAAGCAAATGGAACGTTTGAAGGAAAGAGGCGAAGACTCACACTCTGAGGCCACGTAATAGGACACACAGTAGGTCTAAACATGTCCATACAGCGTGTCTTACCTCGTTGTTTTCCCAGTGAAATTTTTCTCACCAATAAAGCTCTACAGAACACATACAGTAGAGCTTCTCAGTGAAGGGAAGAGTGTCTTTGTTTCCTGGGGACATTTCGCGATGTCTGGAGACAGTTTTGTTTGTCACAATTGTGTGTGTGGTGGTGGGGGGATGGTTACTACTGGCATCTAGTGGGTAGAGTCAAGGGATGCTTCTACACACCTATTAGTGCACAGGCCAGCCCCCACCACAGACAAGTATCAGACCCCAAATGTCAGTAGCGTTGTGGCTGACACACGGATGTAACATCTGGGTCTTGCCATCCATGGCCCATCACAGGACTCAGTACTTTAAACAGTGCACAGAGGTCAGAACGTTGATTTGCTTTTTTGTCTCATTCTTACTAAATACACAATGATAAAAATAAAAGCTAGTGACATCCTCTAGCAATGCACAAAACATCGCCAAGTGCATATCCAATGCACGCTCTGACTAGCTCTTTTCATTTTACATGTTATAGAAAAGGGGTGTTTAGAAAATTATGTGGCCTGGCTTCCTTCGAGAATGAATTCCCAACAAGTTTCATTTATGCCTAAAGTTTGCTGTGGAGTTTAATGAGGAGCTGGCTATTTATTCAGAACCTGCTGGTGTAGTTGAAATTCAAAGACACGGTCAAATTTATCTTCCCAGGCTTCCCAGGATAATGAACAATCTTACATCAGGCCTTCGTTCACCTTCACTAGGCGAGATGTGCGAAGATCTTGCCGTAAGAGCATTCGCGCTAAGCGTGCGGCAACACGGGACTTCAGCACGATGGAGAGAGGGTGGTTCTTCCCAAGCGGGGCACGGTTCTGCACGAAAGCCTTCCTGGGACTATCGATCCACGAGCATTCACTTGGGTCAAATGACCAGCTCAGACTACCCGCGTCCACCAGCTTTCCAACGTGAAGGATTCAGCGCTTGGTCCTAATGCACACAAGCGGCCACCCCCAGCACGCCATGGCACAGTTAACTTCACAATCATGTCTGCTCGGCTGAGGAAGTGACCTAGGACACTCTTAGAAACGAAGGATTTGCCTCCCTCGTCACACTTTGCTGAAGGCTGATATTAAGATGTGCTTGCATTTCCTGGCTGCAGGTTTACTTGTGAAGAAAGATAGCCCAGAATTCCCGGGATAATGTGTAACGGGGCCCGCTAGTAAAGGAATCGCTAAGGACCTATGGCACACGGGACAAGAGCCTGGAGAGCAAGGGCCCCTGAGTTGGTAAGTGCCCCCCCCCCCCACATGACTGCAGCTGATCTGCACAGCAATTTGTGGGGTAGGTGGGAGTGTGCATTCCAACTGACAGAGAAGCTAAGGCACTGAGAAGTCAGTGGTCCCACCCATACTCCACCGAAGATGAGGGCTAGGCTTTCCATCACCAAGGTACCAAATGCCTTTGCAGAAACTGACCTCAACTTGGTGTTGATCTCCTCAACACGTCAGCCCACAGAAATGATCAGTGGAGTTCATCCTCCAAGGATACATTTTTATCTGCCCCCACCATTCATCCCCAAAAAGGGTGAGGCACCCCAAATGGATGTCCCTGGTTGATGAGAACAAGGGAGGTGTTTGGGGGAGGGGGCCCCTCGGGGCTCTGGTTTCACTGTATAAAGGGATCCTCCCTCTGGGGCTCATCTCCTACTGGCCTGGTAGCACACTTCACAAGTGCCTCCCTGTCTCTGCTCAGTCACTACTAGGGGGAGGGGCGTACTCAGCACAAATGAGTTCTGCACAAAATAACACCTGCAGGCCACACGTGTGACTTATAGTGGTATACAAACAATGGGGGGGAAACCCCAACACGGAGTGTCTTAGTCAACTCTGGCTGCTGTACAAAATACCATAAATTGGGGGACTTTTAAACAATACACATTTATCGCAGTTCTGGGGAGCACAAAGTCCAAGAACAGGGCACCAGCAGGTCTGGTGTCTGGTGAGAGCCCACTTCCTGGTTCGTGGACAGCCATCTTCTCACTGTGTCCTCATGTGGCCGAAGGGGCCAGGGTGCTCTCTGGGGTCACTTTATGAGGGCACTGTTCTCATTCATGAGGATTCGGCCCTCATAACCTAATCACCCCCGAAAGGCCCCACCTGCTAATATCATCTCGTGGGAGTTAGGTTCAACGTGAATTGTGGTGACAGAAACATTCAAGACCTAGCATTTCACCCCTGCCCGCCCCCAAATTCATGTCCTTCCTGCATGCGAAATATATTCATCCCCTCCCCGTACCCCAAAAAGTCTTAAGTTGTTCTAGCATCCACTCCAAAGTTTAAAGCTCAAAGCCTCATGCAAATAGCATCTAACTCGACTCTGGGTGGGACCTGAAGTACCGTTCATCCTGAGGCAATCTGCTGTCCAGCTGAGAACCTATTAGATCAGTCAGGTTATGCGTTTCCCAAAAATGTGGTGAGAAGGCACAGCAGAGAAGGTCCCCTTCCAAAGGGAGAAATAGGAAGGCAAGAAGAAGCATTCAGAGCAAGTCTGAAACCCAAGGGGGCAAGTGTCACTAGACTTGAAGGCTGGAGGGTAGTCCTCTGTGGCTTGATGTTGTGCCTTACAAGCCCATGGGGGCAGGGTCCTGCCCCTGAAGCTTTGCTGGGCAGGGCTTGGGCCCCACCTCTGTGCTGGCTCTGCGACTCAGTCTCCCGCCAGAGGCTCCCTGGGGCTGGAACCCTCTGCCCACTGCGCTCTGTCTGGGATCTCCATGGTGGGCCCTCTCCCATGGCTCTAAGGCAGGGAGGACTGGTCTGTGAGAGGTGAGGGTGTGTCTACACTTGCCCTTATTCTCTGGGCTTCTGATGAGACGGGCAGGCCTCCTGTGACTTCTCTGAGATGCCTCAGGGGTCATACTTCCATTGTCTTGGGACAATAGTCCTGGCTTCTCTTTATAAGGCTGACAGCAGCCTCATCAGATGACTGGTTTAGCCACCTCTTCCAGTTCTGTTCCCAAGAGGCTGTCATTCTTTCCAATAAGGACAGGCTGAGAAAGTCCCAAAGTTTTAAGTTCTACCTTGCCTTTGATAAGCAATTCCATCTTTAAGTCATTTCTCTCTTCTTGCATTTTATATAAGCAGTCAAGAGAAACCAGACTACTCCTTCAACGCTCTGCTTGGAATGAGGACTCATCAAGTATTCATTTTCATCACTTCCAAGTTCAACCTTCCAGAAAACGCTGGGACAAGAACACAGTTCAGGCAGGTTCTTTGCTCCCTCATAGCAAGGAGGGCCTTGCTCCTACAGCGTTTGAGGACATGTCCTTGTTTCTTTCCGAGACCTCATCAGAATGGCTGTGCCACGCACAGTCCTACCGATTCTGTTTCCAGGCCCTTAGGGATTCATTACGAATACGGCGGCTCTCTCTCCAGTTCTTCTCGTTCTTTTCCGCGTCTTCTTCAGAATCACCTCTAAAGGTCCATTCATGGCAACGGGGGCTCTTTCTAGCATGTACCTCTAGTGTCCCCCCAGCCTCCGTCTGCTACCCGGTTCCAAAGCTGCTTCCGAATGCGTACATATGTGTTATGGAAGCGCCCCACTTTCCTGTGTTGGTCCATTTGGGAGCTACAGACCGGGTAGCTTATAGACAACAGACATCGATTTCTCACATTTCTGGTGGCCGGGACGTCCAAGATCAAGGTGGAGTCAGTGCGTGCTGAGAGCCTCTTTCTTGCTGTGTTCTCACGAGGCAGGGAGCATGACCAAGCTGGGCAGGCTCTCTTTTATCAGGGCACTGATCCCAGGTGGGAGGGTTCTACCTTCATCACCTGTTCACCTCCCAAAGGTCCACCTCCTGGCACTATCACGTCAGGGATTCAGCATTCACTGAACTGGAATGGGGGTGGGGGGGCGGGGCTACAAACGTTCAGACCACAGCACTGAGTTAAATCACTGTGGACATAAGATGCAGAACACTATGGAAATCCAACGCTAAGGGAATCTTTGGACCACATAACTGGTTAACGGAGGTTCACAGAAAATAATCTATCAGCACAGATATCAAATCAAAGAGTAATGTTTTATGGAACTAAAAGCGGACTTAACTAATGAAAGTTAAGTATGAGTCATCGCACAAAAGCACATTTATAAAACGAAGCTAATGGTAAAGAGGTGTAAGATTAAATGCCACAAGGTGGCAAAACTGGGTAGTAATGCATCTCCTGAGATGTTATAGATTTAGGTGAGCACACTGTGCGTGAACACAGATGATAAGTAAGAAGTGAAAGCAATACGTAAGCAAAGGTGAGTTGTACTCCCCAGAAAGAAGGCGGTGACACTTCAAATTTGACAACAGACTCATACGGACATGTTAACCGGTCACGTGTGTGGCTGAGTGCCTTATTTGTTTAACATTTACTGAATTTTGGCTTTAACCAACATGCACACAGGGCTTTACTGCTGCAACACCCTTTTCCATGCTCCATTCCATGTGCTCTCCATGGTGACACAGATGGACTTCTCACCTCCATTCCACAGTTGGACAAACTGAGGCTCCAACATAATTAGCCCCAGAGGACACTGCCAGGAAATGGCAGACCGGGATAGAAACACTGGGAGATGCACACAAGACATGTAATACTCCAGGTGGGTCTGCGTGCGCCCACGCGGGCAACACTTTTACACAGGCACCCGCTCCGTAATGAGAACTGGCAGTCAGCTGGTGGATAATAAGGAGCCCAGCATTAACAACAACAACAACAACAGCAACAAACACAAAAAAAGCCCTAGTTGGTGAGGGAATAAATAGTTAATGATAAAATGGGTGGGAGATGCAACATGGTAGGGCGACTGGGGGGGGCGGGGCTCAGTCGGGTAAGCGTGCAACTCTTATTTCAGCTCAGGTCGTGATCTCATGCTTTGTAGGATCAAGCCCCTCATCGGGCTCTGTGCTGACAGCACGGAGCCTGCTTGGGATCCTCCTCCTTGCTCTCTCCCTGCCTCTGTCTGTCTCACAATAAGTAAATCAACTTAAAAACCCAGGAAGCAAACCCAAGGCTGTGTTCAGACCCAGGTATACAAGGCCCCCAGGAGACCAGCTGTGCACCGTGGGGCTGGTTCCCCTCCTGGCTTTGGGAGGCCTCACGGCTCCCTGTCTCCCCATCTCCCCGTGAGGGAAGTGGAAAAGCTGTCTCTGAGCTTCCTTCTCTCCTTCCCCGCGGCTCTACGTGGTCAGAAGGGCCACCCTGCACGTGGCACTTCGCAGAGCATTCCACCACTGGCCTCTTTGCTACCCAGACCACGTGAGCTGGTCACGTCCCCACCCAGAAGGGAGCGGGCTTTCTTCCCCCTCCACGAGTCTTCTCCTCTCCTCGTGTAGTCTCTGCCGGTCCTACTCCGGAACCAAATGCTTCCCAAGTATTCCAGGCACGGATATCAGACATTTCACAGTCACTGTCTACCATCAAGGAAATATCTATCCTTCCTATTTTCCGTTCTGAAAAAGGTTAGAGCGTTCAGCTAAACATTTAAAACGCTTCTCGTAGAACGTAGGATAAATGTTAATTATTCAATTATTCTCCTTACAAGATATTACACATTTGTGTCAACTATTTCTCTTCTGTTCAATGAACTCAAGTAATTACACCACTTCTCTGAATAGTTATTATCCCAAACAAAGGAAATTGAAAAAAAAAATCATGTTTACTTACTGCAGTAGTTGCTGTTGCTACTGTAACAAATTACCACAAACTGAGAGCCTTAAAATAACACAAATCCGTCCTCATGCTGTCGAAGTGATGGGCATCTCTCCTGGAGCTAAAAGTGAGCTGGGACTGGCCCGCACTCCTTCTGGGAGGCTGCAGGGGGAGTGTTCCCTGCTCATTCCCATACTGGCAGAGTTCTGTTGCATAGGCTGCTGGACAGGAGTCCCCTTGTGCCTTGCTGGCTGTCGGAGGGGAGCGGCCACAGCGCCCTCTATGGGTGTGCTCTATTTCCAAGAGGGCTCTAAGGCTCAGAACGAGCAATGGTGCCCGGCGTCCGGGAAAGATCTCCATCTGTAAGGACTCACAGACTTAGTTCGGATCCCCCCAGATAATCTGGGATCATCTCCCCATTTCTAGATCTTTACCTCAATTGTATTTATAAGATTCTTTTTGCCACGTGAGGTGACACACTCACAAGTGCTGGAGATTAGAGTGTAGACATCTTTGGGGGCCATTATTCAGCCAACCACACTGCCACATAAAAGGAATTGAGAGACAGGACGCTTGGGTGGCCGAGTCGGTTAAGCGTCTGACTCTTGATTTTGGCTTAGGTCATGATCTCGTGGTTGGTGAGTTCGAGCCCCGTGTCAGGCTCTGCCTGCTTGGGATTCTGTCTCTCCCATCTCTGCCCTTTTCCCGCTTGCACTCTCTCTCTCTCAAAATAAGTAAACTTAAGAAAATTAAAAAAAAAAAAAAAAAAAGAAGTAATTCAGAGGAGGATAATTTTATCCACCATATGATAATCTACACGTAATCATGTAGAATGTTGGAGACCTTGGCTGTATTCCCAGCAGGGCCACTGACCAACTAAGTTATATTGTTTTTTAATTTTTTTTTTTATGTTTATTTATTTTTGAGAGAGAGACAGAGTGCGAGCAGCGGAGGAGCAGAGAGAGAGGGAGACACAGAATCCAAAGGAGGCTCCGGGCTCTGAGCTGTCAGTACAGAGCCGACGCGGGGCTTGAACTCAGGAACGGTGAGATCGTGACCTGAGCCGAAGTCGGAAGCTTAACTGAATGAGCCACCCCGGTGCCCCAGCTAAGTTATTTTGTAAAGGTCACTCTACATGGAGGATCCAGACTCTTTGTCCTTTCATCATAAACGAGGCCACTGTGACAGATGATGCCTCTGCAGTTCGTTTACGTATTCATGCATAGTCACTCACTGAGCCGTGCCAGGTGCCGGGACTATGAGAGCGGAGAAAACAGAGCAGCTCTTGGCCATGCAGAGCTTACATTCTAGCGAAGAGAGACTGACAGTAAAAATGAAGTCATAAAGCAGGGAAATCCGCAGCGGGTGAACAGGGATAAAGAAGGTAGGACGGGAGACAGGAAACACCAGGGCTCCGCCAGTGAGGACAGGGTAGGCAAAGGACAGATGTAATGAGGAGGAAGTGACTGGAATGAAGTCCACCTGTTTTATGACACAGCGACTGCAGTCCTGCTCCCGTGCAAACCAGAAGAGGTCTTCTAACACACTGACAGCCTCCTGTATCTGTACTGGCATCAGCACGTTGTGACAATTCACGTGTGCACTGACCAGTTTCTCCCTTTATACTTTGCAAGTCTCTGTGAGATTATAGAAAAATGTCTTTTTCTAAGATAGAAAGACTATTAATTTATAAGCGAGAGACTAGCACAGTCAGCACAGCAAGTAAAAATATTCTAATCTATTAAGTCACAAAGTAATTTCGCTTGTCAGTTCAACATTTCATTAGGTATTTCAAATTATGTTATTCACCCAGTAAAACTCGAACAGGATGATTCGATAGTAAAAATCAATGCATTTATCATGTAATTCGGGCGGAACTTTTACCAGTCGCTCCAAATCCATTGCCCACTGCTGTAACCAAACACACATCCTCCATCATGTCATCCAGAGCTGGCCATGATTCCCACAAAGGGGGAAGGAAAGAAAAAAAACTGCCCAGCTTCTGCAAGAAAAGTGCACTCTTTCCAATTTACAAATATTTGATGTATTACCTTAGCAAGCACACTGTCATTTGCAACTTTAGCCAAAGTATTTCCCAGAGATAATAAACCCACCAGTGAGCAACTTTCCAATGCGTTTGCATAGAAAAGCATGAAAACAAAATGGGGGAATCCAATGGGACATGAGACTGAAAAGCCAAGAGACCTGGGGTCCAGAGGGCATTCCCGCTGGCAGGTCATGCCAAATCTCTCCACCCCTTTCTCCTCCGTGAAAGAAGAGTAAAAGGGCAGTAATCACATCTGTCTTCCCTGATGTACAGGAGGCCTGGGAAGGACCGAATAAGGCAACGTGTGGACGAAGTCTTACGTGAACTGGAAGCTACCAGCTACGTCATTTCAAGGTACTGAGTACAGCTACCCTGCTCAGCTGCACCCAAGTGACGCTGTGTGACACCCAGGGACACTGGTCAATCGATCCCCAAACACATGATTTGTTGAGTGCGCATCATCTATCAGGTGTGACATGAAACCTAGATCTACAGAACGTGGTGATGCTCACTGCTGGGAGAAGTATTTAAATCAGTACTCGCCGAATTCCTCAAACGTGAGATGCGGCTGTGTTACCTTAATAAGGTCCTCCCTGGAGGAAAACTTTGAGACCAGGTAATTTTGTCTGGTTTTCGTGTTGGTGATAGATACGTGCAGTCGGTTGTGGGCCAGCTCATGAGCATTGGCAGGGAGAATCAAGTCCATTCCGCTTCTAAAGAAGAAAAAGTGACTCGCGTCACTCACCTTGAATTATTGAACGCCTTGTAAATATTTTAGAAGAGAGGATTCTGTGCTGAGCCTGCCACGGTTTACACAGAGTGTCCTCCACCCTGCGTCTTCACAGGCTTTGGGGGAAATGTTCTATACACAGAGGTATACCTCAATCGGGCCATGAAATCATAGCCGGGTGTTAGTGCCCCAAAAGACTGCCTTCGGATTTCTTCGGCAAACTTGTAGGTAAACTCATTACATTCCTGGAAAAGAAAATGAATAGGTGACCCTGTGATTTCCAAGGAACAGTAACGACAACAATCCCAGATTTTCCAGAATTTTTCAGATTTTCCAGATTTTTCCAGAATGCTGTGGCCATCACACAAGGAGCCCTGGACCCTACACCCTGTAAACCCAACCCTTAGAGTTTGGGGGCCCCTTTCCTTCACAGGTACGTGAATCCCCATTTGACCTGGCCCTCACCCATCGTTCTTAGTCCCCAGGCAGGCTCTGTGTTTTCCAAAATCCCATCTTTTTGTTTTTTTGTTTTCCCCCCTTCTTTTCTTTTCAAACGAGTTCAAATGGCTTCAGCCACATCTGGGGAATCCTTGAAGTCTCAATTCTGATGCTCACTTAGGACCCATTCTGCTACACGTTTTTCCAACACGACTGACCTCCTCTCCCATCCCAACTCTATGGCCTCTGGGAACAGTCTGACTGCGACAGTACCGATTATTAATGATACCGTGAACGACCGAGAGGGGAGTCATGATCACTGCCGTTTGTGTTTCGAGTCCAGTCTCGGGCATTGGTATTTGTTTGTAACAGTCTCTGAGGGGCGCGGAGTTGGGGAGTGGGGTGCGTCTAATGTGCTGGTATCCATGGATGCAGTGTCTGTCAGCTCATGCTCACATAACCCTGCAAGATGGATATAATCACCCCACTTGACAGGTAAGAAGACTGAGGCTTGGAAAGATTAAGCTTCCTTCTCATTTTTTCAGCAAAAATCCTCCAGAGTCGGATTTGAAACCCGGTCTATCTTTCCTTTATTAATTCATACATTAACCAACCTAGATGGGGTCCGAGGCACTGGGACTCAGCCGGAACGAGATACAAAGATCCCTTGCCCTCATGAGACATAGCGGTGCCTCAGTGCGTGGGGCCCAGAGCACTGTGAGAGCGCCGTGAAGGCGTGAGAAGCAGAATGAAGCCTGTCATCCCCAAAGATGTCCACATTCTGGTCCCTGCACTGTGTACATGTTTCCTCACGGAGCAAAGCAATCTTGCGGATGTGGTTAAAGGTTTTGAGATGGGGCCTTATCCCGGATTGCCTAGGTGAGGCCAGTATAATCACAAGGATCCCTGTAAGTGAAAGAGGCTGTCAGGAGTATCAGCCTTAGAGAGATCTGAAGGTGCCGTGCTTAAGGGGGAAGAGCGAGGGAGGGGCTGTGACCCCAGAGACGCAGGCTGCTTCTAGAAACCGTAAAAGGCAAGGAAACCGATTCTCTTCTGGAGCCTCCCGAGGGAGCGCGGCCCTGCTGACGATCTGATTTTGTCCAGCGAGACCTTTCCAGAATTGTGACCTCCAGAACTCGAAGGGAATACATGTGTGCTGTTTTAAGCCACTAAAACATTTTATCGTAGCAGCAAGAAGAAAACTCATACAGTGAGCGCTAACCAGAGCCTCCCACAGCGTGTGACATGCGTAGGAGCTGGACAGGAGATGGGAAGAGACGGGGAAGACAGAGACATCTGTGAGCACAGGCCAGCAAGGGACACTGACCTGAAGGTCATCATCAGGGAGCCGTGTGAGGACTAAGTCACTTGGGGCCTTGGGAAGCATGCTTAGAAATCTGGATCCTATGCTGAGTCAAAAGAGAGCCGGGAGTGGCGGGTGGGTGGAAGGTCGAGGGAATAAGAGAATCAGAGTTGTGTTTGGGTAAAATCAGCACAAGTGCTGTAAGGTGGGTGGTCTGTCGGCAATGGGAGTGGACGCGGGCCGCCATCAGGAAGCCCTCGTGAGAGACCGCCCCCCAAGTGTGTGCTCCTTCCACTAAGCTGGACGGCCCACCTAACCTCCTTTCTTATGTTAATTTTAGTTACACACACCCCTGATCACAATGGAAACTTATTAAGGAATGGACTTTGTGTGCTAACACTGTGCCTGGCAAACTGTGAGGGCTGAGGAAAGGCTTGAAGCACTGAGCTCTTACATATCAACATCTAAATTTGCCTGCCACCTAAAATACACCCAGCATCAGGTGCTTCTCTTAATTATACATGCATACGCTCTGAACTAGATTAATTACTCACGTATTTGTCACAACACCACACAGCTCGAGGAACCGTCAGCAAGAGCTGAGCTAACACGGATGTGACTAAGTACAAAACAGTGTGCTAAAAAACTCAAAGCGATCCTACAGGTGGTGTATTTCAAGTGTTGAAAAGAAGAGAAATAAAATAACCTTAAACCACATGGCTGAAAATTTATGTTGAAAAGGGAGAAATGCGGATGCTCTAGGTTAATACAGAGAATCATTCTCCACCTTCCAGTGTGAACACCCAATAAGTCCTACCCCTTTACCAACCTACCAACCAACCCAATCACAGCAACACAACTAGACGATAAGATGGGTTTCCAATTCATTGAAAAAACATAGAACAGGTAATCTAGCTTCAATATGATATCAAATCTCGAATCCAGATAAAACGTCACTATCTGATCACAGAATTTCACTTAAGTGCCAGTATTATGGCAGAATTTCCAAATCACGTTAATTCTAAATCACACTTAATACATTTTTCTTAATGTTTATTTTTGAGAGAGAGCGAAGAGAGAGTGAGCAGGGGAGGTGCAGAGAGAGAGAGGGACACAGAGGGTTCAAAGCAGGCTCTCTGCGTGGACAGCACAGAGCCCGACACGGGGATCAAACTCATGAACCGTGAGCTCATGACCTGAGCTGAAGGTGGACACTCAACAGACTGAGCCACCCAGGACCCCACAATTAAAACATTTCAAAAATCTGAGGATTCAAAATCAAGCCTACTCAATTCCATAGCTGGGAGTTTGCCCCACCTACAGAAAAGACGGCACTAGGGAGGAGGAAGCGATCTCTTGGTAGACCCCTGCCTCAAAAAGTTCTGGAATAGAACTACTTTGCAATCCAAACCATAGGATTCTAACAACTTAGGGGGTGTTCACACCTTAGTTATATGTTCACTGCATATAACTGTAATGGAAGCTTATTTTCATTACTTCTGGGATAAATCGCTTGAAATTCATGGCATCTGACTGAGAATGAAAAACAAATAAAACCCCTGTATCATTCCACTTAATAGAAATTATTGGCCCGCGTTTTCATTTATACAACTGTTTGTCAATAGGAGCGAACAAAGCGTTATCGGCCACATGCTCAGGGCCTTGAAAACAGGCCCTGTGTTCTCATGATCAGATAAAACAAATATTGTTTGGTTGAAAGAAACCGAGCTGGAATCTTAAGACTAAATACTCAAGAGTAAAAAAAAAAAAAAAAAAAAAAAAAAAAAGGCATTTTGTTTCCTTGTCTGTCACCCCAAATAATCCTTCCCGTATGTAGAGCACAGATCCCTAATAATTAAATTTTTAAAGAAAAGTCTTAACCTTTTCTGTTACCCAGGCAAAGGATTATTTCTCTGTAGTTAACTTAGCACAGCTAACGTTCATCTCTGTGGTTCGGTCTTAATTTCCTGACAAGGAACACAGCCTAGTTACCACTTAATTACCTCTATTCTTTCTGGTGCTGTTAGTAGGACGGTAGCAACCAAGGATCCCGCAGAAGCCCCTGCAAAGGCCTTGACATCCTTCAGGAGCTTTCGGCCATGTCTGTAAAGTGCCGATGCTGCCCCCAAGTGGTAAATGCCCAGAAACCCGCATGCTGCAAAGGACAGGTTGATGTGCTTCATTCGAGCTGTGAAATTGACGAAACAAAAGACAAAAATGCTGTAAATTGGTATAGCTTATTCCACATGGCTTGAGTCTTAGGATAGTCATCATTCCAAGGCTTTCTTTAAATATATAATTCTCTGTGCTAAGCACAGTATTTTCAATTAAAGTCTAATTAAATACTCAAAATTTTCAGGAGAACTTTTTCCCCTTTCCCCTTGACTCAATATAGTTTTATTAATTAAAAAAATGACAACCTTCCATATTTATTCATCACATATATTATTCAATGTACCAGTACTCGGCAAGAAACATCAAATTACAACAGGCAAGGCTTTTTTTTTTCTTTGACCTTTGTACTTTTGAGACAGGGCTGCTATAGTGAAAGGTAAAATCGGCATATACTAGCAAATTCCTAAGGAAGGGTACATGTGTTCTTTGCAAATGCATCACTACATTTCAAAAGTCCTCATTCCCATTGCCCCACATTTCCATTGCAAGCATCCATATATTCAAAACAAAACAAAACCAAAAAAATACTGATGCCCACGACTATTCCATAAGGCAATGAGCGATTATTCATTAATGCCATATATTTCATCACCAAGTTTCTCAGGACAAACCAAGGTCATGACTGGCAAGGGCAACTGAAGGCTCCAAGGTATGTGAAGCGCACCCGTTCCTTGATTGCTTGTGATAAAGTGAACGATAAGAAGTGTTCCGTGAAGGCTCAGTGCACCTGGCATCACCACGTGGATGAAATCAAGCAGCCACAACGCTGCTCACCTGGAGGACCCCCATTCTGCCCACCGCCCCCCCCCCCACAACTCCGGGGCCTTCGAATGAGGCACCTGGCCTGGGCCTCGAATTTAGGAACCTGAGACCACCCTTGCGGGCGGAAGGAGGGTCAGCCTAATCGCAGTCGAGCCCTGGGGTTGGTTTACTATCTGGAAAGTGGAGTGGGGGCCCTCCGTATCGGGGAGGCCTGCCAGCGCAGGCCCTGCTTCCGTCTGCTGCCAGGGGGCGGTGGCGCGGGGATCGCCGCCACACCAGACAGGGTTCTGGGGCCCAGCTTCGACGCACCCACCCGGGGGAGCGACCTCCAGGGGCTGGAGCCCGCCCCGCGCCCGCCCTGAGCTCCGCCCTACCAATGCAGGCCTGAGGCACTTCCATGTTGAGCGGCCCCCTTAACCGGAAGGCAGGGCCTGGCCGTCACTCAACAAGGCCCCGCCCATCAGGGCTGGCCCACGCTCGCGGCGCGCCTGCCCAGGAAGATCTCGTGAAGGGGTCGGGGCGGAGCTACGCGCGCGGCGCTCCGAAGCCGTCAGGCTGACGCAGGTCTCCCCCCGCCTCCCCGCCTCCCGCGGCCCCGCCCACGCTATTTAAACCCCTGGACTCAACATGGCGGCGCGCACTCGGACGCTTGACCCGGGCGTCCCCGGACGCGGGTAAGCGGCGACACTTTCATCCCCAGTCCTGCTGTCTCCCATACCTAGCGATGCGTTGTAGTCCCTCTGCGCTTTTTAGCGGACCCCTCGCTTGCGAGCTCACTGACCCTGAACGACCCTCAGTCGCTACGCACCGGAAGTGCTTGGCCCTCTTCGCGGCTGTCTCCCGGAAGTGGTTTTCCTCCTTTTCTCCCCCTTCCCCTTTAGGGGCGGTCCTGCTGGCCCAAAGGGCGGGGTCCACGGGCGGCGTTGTGGCCGGACGCCTGGCTGCTCTTCAGCGCCCCTCTCTACTTGTTCCGTAGGCATTATTGGAAAGGCCGGACTGTGGCTTGGGGCAGCGTGCACAGCCTCAGGCTCCTTAGGCTTTGTGACCTTGCGCGGGTCGCCTCACCCCCGTGAACTTCTCCGCTGACAAACCTGCAAAGTGGGATGCTGACGTGCAAGCTGGTGCCAAAGCGTAAAGCTCGTGCCCCTCCCGCACCGGCCTTCAATAGACGGCCTCTGTTTCGTTTGCTGGCTCCGGATAGACTTGAGACCTGGTGGCCAAGCCCGCTGGCATCCCCTGTGAGCCAGCTTCTCTGTCTAATCTGAGAATAAGCGAGGCTGGAATTCCTGGAGGAAGGTTCTCCAGGTTCCCTTTGTCGAAGGACAGATTTACCCTGACCGCAGCTACTATAGGAGAATCTGAAACATGTGCCAGTGTCTTGGCCTGAAAGTGAAGGGTTGGGGGGGGGGCCTCCCCAAATGGCCTTCACGTTGGGCTTTTTCTTCCTCCGGCACTGGGGATGCCAGGACCTGAGCCCACAGCGCTAGCTGTAAGCCAGAGCCCCGGATGTGATGAGTGCGCAGATTTTGGTGTTGGTGCTCCTAAATAGCCTTCTGAGAGCGAGCGGGGGTCCTGAAGACACCCTAACGTCTGAGCCTAGCGCGACCCCGTTAGGTGAGGAGGTTTTCACTGCCCTTAGAGTTTCGGGAAGGGAAGGTGAAGTGTACGTCGAGGAAATCAGGAAGGACGAGCTCTCCGTTCTTTCTTCCTTGCACCGCCCCGTAAGCGTGGTGGAGGGTGGTCCTGCCAGGAAAGCATCCTCCAGGAAGCTCCTAGGAAGGAAGGCTCCCGGGCCTCCTATCGGGTGCCCTGAAGCGGCATCTGTCTTTTAAGAGCCCCCTGCTCCCCCCTCCCCCCCATTTCTATGCACCCTGAAGCTTGGGAAACCCTGGTGTAGCTGGTGGGGTGATCTGGCTCCAGGTGACGCGGTAGCATTGCCAGTTCCCGGAGAGACAAAGTCCCCAGAGCCAGAGGCTGGGGCGGTGGTGAGACGGCCACTCTTGCCTGTGTGTGAGCACTGTCGGCAGGCTGATTCAGAGCGCGCTGAAAACTCGGTCACTGGGCAGCCTGGATGAGCAGCATGACCACGGGAGCCTTCGCTTAAAGGAAACCTGAGATCCCACGCTGTTACCACACCTGCTGGTGAGTGAGATTCCTCGCCATTTGAGTGTCATGGCAAAAGCGTTCCAAAAGCTGCATAATTTAATTCTTACCGTTTTAGTGCTCGCTTCGGCAGCACATGTACTAATTCTTACCGTTTTAAACTGTCTTAAAAAGTAGTCTCTCCTTTGTCTCTTCTACCCCATGGCATATTCTCATGCAGCTGATTCGGATAGCTCAGCAATCATGGGCGCCTGGGGGGCTCAGTTGGTTAAGTGTCGGACTCTTGCTATGGCTCAGGTTTTGATCTCATGTTTCGTGAGCTCAAGCCCTGCATTGGGCTCTGTGCTGACAGTGCGGAGCCTGCTTGGGATTCTCTCTCTCTCTCTCTCTCTCTCTCTCTCTCTCTCTCTCTAAATAGATAAACTTAAAAAAAAAAATTTCAGCTCCCCAAGGTAAGGAACAATATAAGACCCATTTACATTTGTTTTCATTAAAGGCCAGCCATTAACAGTCGGTGCATCATCAGTAAGTATGTGTTTTGGGTTGTTGCATTTAAGTGACTTACTCGTGTGAATATATAGTAACTTAATTGCCCTTTAAGAACATTTTTTTACCGGCTCGTTTGCTTCTTTTTGCTTCTCTATTTTCCTTTGTAATTTAGTTTTGAACTGGCTTATTGAGCCATTCATCAAACATTCGTCAAGCATACGTTGTGTGACAGATCCTTTGCTGGTACAGGGCTTACGGAGTTGAGCAGAATGGAGTTCTCCCTCATCAGAAATGCTGGTTGTATGGACAGGGAGGCAGTTGATTTATAATTACAGAGACCTGATCCTGTGCAGGCGTGTGAACGCCCAGCTGCAGGGAAGGAGACGCTGCCCTCGGAGAGACCGCCCACGGGAGCACCTGGCAGGAAAGCCCAGGTGGAGACCTGCCTCTCCTTTCCTTGTGCCCAGCGTCCTCCCTCGGCATTTTATCAACTGTGCCATAAAGACGGAGAAAGGGACAGGGTAAGGGGTACTTGTCATACCTCTGCCCCCAGGACAGGATGTCACCTCCGTATTTCTGAGTCTACCCTCTTCTTCCAGTGTACTCTCCTGTCGTAGGCTCTGGGTCTGGAGTTCTGTCTTGTCCAGTAAGAGAGCGGACGCAGGCTTGGACTGCAAAAGAGGGTAATGTCCAGGAGGAGACGAGAGCCCTGAGGAAGGGTCCTGGCTCTGTCTCTATTGTCATTTTTACAAGCGTGATGGACGTGCACAAAGAGACGATGGAACCGTGAACATTAACTCATGGGCGTGGGGGAAAGGAGGTCTTGAAGGTACGCGCTGTTAGGGGTTTGGGTTAATACAAAACAAAATCCTGGTGCCGGGCAGATGGTTGTTAACGGCAGTCGTGAGGCGCCGGGTCTCTTGGTCTTAGCCGGCCTAGCGGGTGAGACAAATAGAACATGCTGCCTCAGGGCCAACAAGGCATCTGACTTTTGCTACTTAGCTCCGCTCCGGGCAACCTCGTCTAAAGTCCTCTTTGCCTCTTGTGGTCCTTTCTTCCTGTGAAGCATGTTCTCATGCAGCTGATTCGAATAGCTCAGCAATCATGGGCGCCTGGGGGGCTCAGTTGGTTAAGTGTCGGACTCTTGCTATGGCTCAGGTTTTGATCTCCTGTTTCGTGAGCTCAAGCCCTGCATTGGGCTCTGTGCTGACAGTGCAGAGCCTGCTTGGGATATTCCCTCTCTCTCTCTTTCCTCTCTTTCTCTCTCTCTCTCTCTCTCTCTCTCAGTAAATAGATAAACTTAAAAAAAAAAAAAAAAAACAACCCAGCTTTCTGCTGTTGTACTAAGTTGGGGGGCACTTCTGCCCTGACTACTTATTTTGACTACCTCACCTTGGAAGCCTTCATCCTGAGGCTTCCTGTCCCTACACCTTTTCTGTCCTGGGGGCCCTTTGCCTTAGTTGCCTCATCTCGCCTGCCTGATCTTGGAAGCCTTCATCCTGAGGCTTCTGGTTCCTGTATGCCTTGTTAACGCATGGCTGCAAGCTCCGGGACCTTCTGAGCTCTTTGCCACACTCTCCGTGAACTGCAATGTCATTTTCCCGTCTTGGCGTCTTACCGCATGTTAATACCTCTGTGGGACTGGCTCTCACTGCCCGGCAACAGCCTTGTCCTCTCTCCTTTTTGGTAACTCATCACCCCTGTCACCTCCTCCCAGAATCTTGCACACTGTTACTGATTTCAGGGCAGTGTGGCCGCACTGTTGGAGTGCATAGCAGTGCCCTTTCCACGGGGGCGTCAGGTCCTAACGGTAGAGGATGTTGGCACACGCTCCGTGCCTCGTGGAAGTGGCCCCTCGTTTAGAGAGCACCGCAGAATTCAGAGAAGGGTACTTTTGCAGTCATGGCGCAGAACGTCCCATCCGAATCCAGGGAGAGACACTGGATGCCTTCCCAGGGATCCCTCTCTCTGAGGAAGGATGTGAAGTCATCGATGAATGAATGCCCCTATGCAGAGGAAGGACGTGAAGTCATCGATGAATGGCAGAGGGAGCCAGCCCTCACGTGAACGTGACTTCAGGGGAACCATTGCACTCACCCTTTTCTGTTTGCTTTCTTGAGGTGCTTAGAACTCACTTTCTACATCCTGCAAACAAGACAGTGTCACTAACAGACGTACTTCTTCCATTGCATCTGTTTTCTCTTTACTAGAAATTTGCGGGAAAAACTAATGCCTTGAAAGAGCACTGGGTGAATCCTTTCTAAATGGGAGAATATTGTTCCAAAAACTATTTGAATTATATGTGTAATATACACGTATTCTTTCTTTTGCATGTATATAACAAAAGGCCTTTCTTTGACACCATAAGAACACAAAGTAGACATTCGTAAGTGATTTATTTATGATTGGATGCATCTAACAATATATACGTTCTTCTAAACATGGCATAGAAATTAAATATCAAATTATCTGTATGGCATAGAAATTAAATATCAAGTTTCTGTGAAAGACGTTTTTAAAATGTGACACTTGTTTATAAGCTTCATTTTATTTAATTAAAATTTTGGGGGTCACCTGGGTGGCTCAGTCGGTTAAGCGTCTGACTTTAGGTCAGGTTGTGACCTCGCCGTCCATGAGTTCAAGCCCCGTGTCTGGCTCTGGGATGACAGCTCAGCGTCTGCAGCCTGCTTTGGATTCTGTGTCTCCCTCTCTCTGCTTCTCCCCACTCGCTGTCTCTCAAAAATGAATAAACATTAAAAAAATTTAAAAAAAAATTTAAGCTTCCTTCTAGCTTAACACATTCCCAATATGTTATACATTTGCATTGACAAATAGGGATGGTGAAGATTCTCCGAGTGTTTCTACTATTGACTCGGAATTAATTAGACTACTTGTGGTTGATATTCTACATAAGCAGAAGATAGAGCAGGAGACGTTTGAAAATTTGCATACTTAAAAATATATTTTGTTGCAAAGAGGTTTCAATCTTTGATACGGAAGTGGTGGGATTGGGGCACCAAATGCATTACCGAGTCCTAATTTAAAAAAAAAAAAAATGATTTTTGGGAGAGCGCAAGCAGGAATGGGCACAGAAAGGGGGACAGAGGATTCGAAGTGGGCTTGAATTCAGAAACCTCGAGATGATGACCTGAGCCAAACTTGGTTGCTCAACGGACTGAGCCACCCAGGCGCCCCAAGGTTACAAATATCTTGGAAAGCCCAGTGAAACAAGATCTGTGTTTGCTGCCCCGTATACATTGTTGCGAAACAGCTCTACCCTTGATTGGCCACAGTCGTGGCCCACAGTTTGTACAGGTGGATGGATGGATAGCATCCTTCTTACCGGCCTTCAAATGGTTTTGTTACAGTGGAGATCATTAGGGAAATAACGTCAGTGTCAAGTAAGTGAAATTGTTCAATGATAAGCAGAATGTCCGCGTTCGTGGCTTCAGCTTCATTAATTTTAACAAAATGCTGTATTTTAATGCAGACCGCTGTGTTTATTATTGCTGCTGTTAGCAAAAGAAGCACCCTAATTGCTAGAACATCCAGTTATCTAATCACCTCATTTCAAGAGGACAAACTAAGGATTTCAGTCTCTTTTGGTTTTGCAAAATGCCTTCTTTTCCTGAGCATCTACTTCATTTATTGACCTACTTTGACATGCTGGTCCTTCATAAACACCGTCTCGTGTAACTTTTACAACAATGGGGAAAGGGAAAACACATATAATGGGTGGAAATTTAGAAAGAAAACCATTTTCCCATATCCACACAGATGCAGAGGTTATCAGCCGAGATCCCCGTCAGACCAAAACACCCCTGGTACACAGATCCGTCCTACACGGTTGGAAAAACGAATTAATAAGTGCTCATGTACAAAAATGAATGAATAACATAGTAAGCTCTCATTAGGTGCTGAGGATTGTGCTACTTGGCAACCAAAGGTTTCAGAACCTTGTTTCTTCCTTCAGTTCTCTGGCCGGAATTTGTAACTGGTGTTTGTATTTAGATACTTAAAACTTTACTGAAAAAAATGGTAGAAGTCTTTAATGTGACCTATAGATTTGTGTATGGCATTGAGAGAACTTGTTTATATCTGGCAAAGAAGAAAAAAAGAAAGCAAGTCTAGCAAGTAATTAAAGCTGCCCTTTCTCCATGTATCAATGACAGCAGTAACTCTTTCTGGTTACTTTTCCTGGAAGCTGTGTCACAAAGTAGGTTATTATAAAAAGAACGTAATTTCCAGTAGGAGCGATGTATGTCAGTGAGCAAGGTCTTAACTCAGAGAAATCATTTAGGTGATCATTTATCTTTATGCCTTTGTTCTTTGTTTTTTTGTGTGTGTGTGTTTTTTTTTAATGTTTATTTATTTTTGAGACCGAGAGAGACACAGCATGAGCAGGGAAGGGGCAGAGAGAGAGGGAGACACGGAATGTGAAGCAGGCTCCAGGCTCTGAGCTGTCCGCACAGAGCCCGACGCGGGGCTCGAACTCACGAACTGTGAGATCATGACCTGAGCTGAAGTCGGACGCTTAACCGACTGAGCCA